CCAAAAAATGAGCACGTTCATAAATTAAATGAAGAAATTTTGGATGTAATAATGGAGATTTTCACACTTATTTGAGTGATGATGATTCAACAGATGATGCTGAAAAGGAAAATTTTCCCATCAAATTTCTTTTTTTTTTTTAATATATTTTATTGATTTTTCACAGAGAGGAAGGGAGAGGGATAGAGAGTTAGAAAGGAGGCAGCTGATCGATGAGAGAGAAACATCGATCAGCTGTCTCCTGCACACCCCCCACTGAGGATGTGCCTGCAACCAAGATACATGCCCTTGACTGGAATCGAACTGGGACCCTCCAGGCCGTAGACCGATGCTCTATCCACTGAGCCAAACCAGTTTCGGCCCCATCGAATTTCTTAATAGTATACTTCTTTGGAAATGCCATGCCATAAATTAAAATTGAAAGTAGGTGCAATCATCATGCTACTGAAAAATTTTAATAGTAAATGGGGTCTTTGTAAGGGTACTAGATTTATTATCAAAAGTTTGTGACCTAACATAATCAAAGCTGAAATATTAACAGGTTCTGTGAAAGGAGAGGTTGTTCTGATTCTAAGAATTGATTGTCCCTGTCTGACACTGGCCTCCCATTTAAATTAATTTGAAGACAGTTTCCTGCGATGCCAGCATTTGTGATGACTATTAAGAAGTCACAAGGACTGCTGGGACCGGTTTGGCTCAGTGGATAGAGCGTCAGCCTGCGGACTGAAGAGTCTCGGGTTCGATTACGGTCAAGGGCATGTACCTTGGTTGCGGGCACATCTCCGGTAGGGGGTGTGCAAGAGGCAGCTGGTCGATGTTTCTCTCTCATCGATATTTCTAACTCTCTGTCCCTCTCAATTCCTCTCTGTGTAAAATCAATAAAATGTATTAAAAAAAAAAAAGAAAGAAAGAAATCACAAGGACAAACTATATAGAGTAGGATGATTCCTACCTACACCCATTTTTGGACATGGTCAGTTTATATGTTGCTTTCTCTTGAGTTCAAAGAGCGGGTGATGTTAACTTGTAAATACTTCATTACATGGGAAATTAGTCAAGCACTCTGAAAGTGTTTTTACTCTTAATGTGGAACACGGGGAGATATTAGAATAAGTTTAATCAATTTATCAATCATTGTTTTTATCAGTGTTGTTTTTATGTATTGATATAATATCTTATATCATTTTTGTTATATCTTGTTTACTTATTAATCAATTTATATATTTTCATATACATTTTACCATTTTTCTTTTATCTCTGACACTTCTATTATAAAGGATGAATAGTGATATTAAAATATTCCTTCTAACTAATTTCACTGTGCACAAAACCGTGCACCAGGCCACTCATATACTTATAAACATGGTAACCATTAAAACAGAAAAAAGTCAGCATGTGCAAGGGGTAGGGGAGGCTGGGAGAAAGTCAATGGAGAAAAAAAGCAGATATATGTACTACTACTTGTAATACTTTAAACAATAAAATAAAACAAAATAAATGAAATAAAATACAGAAAAAATCAATATTGAATAGGCAGTATTTTATTTTTAATTATTTTTTTCAATTTTTATTTATTTTTGTTTTATTGTTTAAAGTATTACAAATGGTAGTACATATGTCTCCTTTTCGTTTTTATGCTTCTTTATGGTGTTGAAGGCAGTATGAATGTTATAGGCCACAGGTTACAGAAGGATTTAAAACGTTGTGTGTTCTGCTCCCCTTGCACTTCTGGGCTAAGTTCTAGAACGTTTGCAAGTGCTCAGGTGATCAAAGTCAGGTTTTGTAATTCACCAGGCCTAGAAGTATGGCTGTTTCTGACCAGAAAATCTGTCCCTTTGGCCGGTTAGTCAGCCGTGGTCCTAGGACGACCTTCGGCTGAGCCTGTCCCAGGCAGAAGCGGAGTCTGCCTCTGGCACCGAGGGCCTGGCAGCCTCTGGGTGCTGGAGGGACGGCATTTCTCTCTCAGACCCACAGGAAGACAGAGGCTGTGAAAACCTCTTGCCTGCCCCAACTGGTTTGGCTCGGAGGATAGAGCGTCGGTCTGCGGACTGTAAGGTCCCAGGTTTGATTCTGGTCAAGGGCATGTGCCTTGATTGTGGGCACATCCCCAGTGGGGTGTGTGCAGGAGGCAGCTGATCACTGTTTCTCTCTCGTTGATGTTTCTAACTCTCTATCTCTCTCCTTTCCTCTCTGTAAAAATCAGTAAAATATATTTTTTTAAAAAGAAAAGAAAAGGAAAAAAAAAAAAAGAAAAAAAAAACTCTCGCCTGAGGAAGCCAGAGGTCAGGAAGCCAGAGGTAATTTCACTGCTCCATGCTGCTTCTCCACAGTGAAATTGTGCCTCTCAACGCGCAGGAGTCGGTGGGGGCCCCAGGCTTTTTTAGTCCAAGGCAAAGAAGTGCAGCAAAATGGTTTCCGTAATTTGTTCCTCGGTGAAATTATTAAACCTCTCCTCCTCTGCCTCGAGGTGGGAACAGAGAGCAGTTCCAGAAAGGCCCCTTCGCTGCCATCCTCGTGCGTTACCGCTCGCAGCCGACCGTCCTGTGAGCCCTTCCACTCCTCCGTCCACGAGTTACTGAGCCTCTTGCCCAGCGGCAGGGCGCTGCTCTTGACCCCAAGAAAGCTGTGGGTTACATGTTGTACCGTGCCTATTTTAGGTGCAACTTATTTGGAGTCACTTTTACTGCTGATTTATTATACAGGTGACTTCTGTTTATGGGGGCTGGCAGCTTCTGGTCTGTATTTTGCGGAAAACTTACTTCATGTAACAGGAAAAGCCTCAGAGGTTGGTTTCTAGGCTGAATTATACTGAGGGACCCCTGAGAAAGCAGAGTGGCCAGTGGTTCAGATTTTATGGGATGTCCATTATCTTATCAGAGGTAAATGTGCAACCATCACCCTTTTCCAGGACGGTATTAATTTTTCATCATTAGAGAATTCAGAAACTTACAAATGTGAATTATTTATTTCTAAAATAATTCTGGAGAGGAAGATCATTGGTTTCTAAACTGAATTATGTCCCGACTTCTCTGTCACAGTAATCTTCAGTCCCCGCCTATGGGTTATGTCCGTCTGTGCCTCCGCCAGGCGGTCAGGGACAGCCTGGGAAGGGCAGAGCTGCCAGCTACGGGCTCGTATCTTCTTCCTCAAATAGCTTTGCCTTCACATTAATTTTTCGTGTTTTATGCGGCACCTCACACTAGAAGTCACACATTTTCATAAACCATATTTATGCTGTACCATGGGAAACATGGATGTGAAGAAGGGGAAAGAACGAAGAAAACTTAAAAAGCTGACTTATCAACTCTTACATGGCTTCATTTTTTAATAAATCTTAGTCAGTTCACAGGCACTGGAATTTAGAAGAGAGAGACCCCTATAACCCATTGCTGTCATCTGCTTCTTACAGTCAGTCACAGTGTATTTCTGGAATGGTAAAAAATAAAAAATTTGTTTTGAAAGGAAAAGGGAAGAAGCATGTGATTAACAAGTAGCTGTTGAGTTTGCAAGAGAGCTTGTATTATTGTTTCTATGAAAAATTCATTGCTGTGGGGAATTAGGACTAATTACAGGGTCCTTTTACCCTGGGAAAGGGAGATTGTGTTATGTGCAGAATTACAAAATACTGATCTTTCATAAACCATGCTCCATTAATTCTTCCTTAGTTTCTGCTTTCATTGTGTTCCGTGACAGTGTTTCTTAACTGGCTCATGTCAGAATTTTAATATTTACTTAGTATTCAAAATATGTTGAGCCAAAACCGGTTTGGCTCAGTGGATGGAGTGTCGGCCTACGGACTGAAAGGTCCTGGGTTCGATTCCGGTCAAGGGCATGTACCTTGGTTGCGGACACATCCCCATTAGGGGGGTGTGCAAGAGGCAGCTGATTGATGATTCTCTCTCGTCGATGTTTCTAACTCTCTATCCCTCTCTCTTCCTCTCTGTAAAAAATCAATAAAATATATATTTTTAAAAATATGTTGAAAGTAAGCATCTACCAAGCACCTATCAAAAAATTAAATGGGCTTTCACAAAATCTCAATTATAATTTTTCTAAAAAGTGATAAAGCCAGCCATCTCTGAAACAGATACAGAGGAAACTATGAAAAGTGCCGGGAAATATTACTAATGATTAGTTTTTAACATATTTGCATGTTTATCTTTAAGAACTGGCATGCTATTTTTAAATCCTTACTATCTACAGAGCTATTTATTTGTCCACATTTCATTAATAAGTAGAAGTAGGATAGAAAATAAGAATAGGGTTGATTGGTACAGCTCCCCTCCCCTTGTAACTCATTGGGAATCCAGCCTTAGCACAAGGTCTGTCATGCAGTTGGTTTTAAAAATATATATTTTATTGATTTGTCTAACAGCCTTAGACAAATCATGGTACGGCTTCACAGTGGAATACCATGCAGCAGTGAAAAGGGATGGCTTACACACAGCCCCAAGGAAGAACTTAGAAACAAAATGCAAAGAAAAACAAGCTATTGAAGAACGCATACAACATTACCATATCTTAGGCAGCAAGGAAGTGTAAAACCATAAATTAAAGCAAGGAAGCAGTGAGCACAAAACTCCAGACACGGGTGCTTGGGAGGAGGACAGGAACCAGATGGGGGAGAAACAGCTGGCGCACCAGGGGCTTGAAGACTAGGCGCGTGCTTGTTCTAAAATTAGACAAGCTTATCATTTTTTTATATCTCACGTGTATTTTGTAATACTTTACACTTATTTTATCATTTGAATCTATACAATATATAATAAAGTTAATTATTTTTCCAATAAGTGCAATTGCAGAGTTTAGCATATGGATAACAGGATACTGTTCTTGTATACCTGCAAAAAAAGTATACTTTTCTGAGAGGGGGAGGAGTCTAATTATAGTGAGTTCTATCCCGTTGCTTATGTGTAATGACTTAAATTTTCTTTTGTTAAAGGGCTTTCTTCTTTCTTTTCCCTTCCATTCTCTCTTCCCTGCTGCTCCTCGGTCGGTAGGAGAGATTTGAAGCGCTTTTCACCATCTATGATGAGCAGGTGACGTTTCAGTTATTTAAAAGCTTTAGAAGAGTCAGAATAAACTTCAGCAAGCCGGAAGCAGCAGCCAGAGCGCGCATCGAGCTCCACCAGTCAGACTTCAACGGGCAGAAGCTGAAGCTGTACTTTGCACAGGTACGTACTTCCCAGAGCCACGGCACTGCTCTCGACACCTGCCCTCCATCCAGAAACATTACAGTTCTCCGCTTCCCATGCCCCTTCAGAGCCTTGGAAATGGACAGTCCCAGTCAGCCAATAATGTAAAAACAGTGCCTCCTTTATTATACAGATGCATAAATGTATGTATTAAGCGTATTTACCCTCCTAGTTTTATTTCGCTTAGATCAGCAGTTATAAAGGAACTCATTTTTCTGTAAGCTTTTCTCAGTGGGCATTTCATGAGGGAAATTTGAGAGAATGTCTGAAATCATTTCTGGGTTCTGTAACTTATATGAGATACCCCATTGAACATGAGTGGGCTGCTGGCCTGTGGGGTGACCGGGAAGGTGCTGTAGGCTGTACCACAGGCGGTCTTAGACTTTGAAATGGCAGAGCAGGGAGGTTACCGAGAATTGGCTATCCTCATTCTGTTTAGTGATGTGACTGAGAAACCAATGTCTTCTTAGAAGAATTGGTGAAGTGAAGGCTGATGTACTATGTGCATTGACTTATTTTCAACAAAGTATTTTTTTTTCTTGGTCTTAGCTTTTAAATTAAGAATAAAGAGAGAGAGGTTTGTTATCTCACACTCCAAATTCAATTCTAAATGAAAGCTTTCTGGACATTGCTCGGTGGAGCCGATTGAAATGGAGACAAAGAACCTAATCTCTTCCAAAATTGGAATGTGGTGCTTACTACCATTCATTATTCATTCATCTAGTCACCTATTTATTTTTTATTCAGCTGTCCATTTATTGAGCACCTGACTGGTGCAGGCTCTGTTCTGTGCACCGGGTCTTCGGTGGTGAACCAGGGAGACCGAGACCCATCGCTGGGAGATGCAGGCTGTTAAGGAGAGATTGTTCACTTTCTCCGAAGAGATGCAGTGATTAATATAAAGATGAAAATGAGAAAATAGGCCAGTCCCAGACATGGACTCTCTCCCTCCCTGCAGGTTCAGGTGGCCCGGGAAACACGAGACAAATCGTACCTGCAGCCGCCCCAGCCAGTCAAGCAATTCCTCATCTCGCCGCCCGCGTCCCCTCCGGTGGGCTGGAAGCAGGGGGGCGACGCGATGCCGCTCTTAAACTACGACCTCCTCTGCGCCGTGTCCAAGCTGGGGCCAGGTAACCGCACCGTCTTCCCGCCTCTTCCCAGAGGCGCTCTTTGCATTCTTGCCAACTAGTGGCAACCTGACCAGAGAGAGGGATAAAGTCACACCAGCCCGGGTGCACTAGCATCTGCCAACTCTGTGATCTTGAGCAATTTGCTGAGCTTCCGATCCCCTCAGCTTCTGTTCTTCTCATCTGTAAAACAGGGACCATATCCGCTCCCTTTCAGGGTGGTAACAGGGTTAAGTGATACAATGCATGACACTCAATAAATCTAACTGCGATTTTTACTGCTACAAATCCTACTGGTACCTCACAGGCAGTTAGTGAATAGCAGTTGCTCTCTCCCCCACTCCGTCAGAGTATCAGGCAGACAGCTTCTCCAATGACTGGTATTTGAAGGAATGAATGGCAATACCATATCATCCCTTCCAAATCCTCTTATTATTTATTTTCCTTCTCTTTTTTTGCTCATCCCTTTAAAATAATATAAGAAGTCAATGCCGTCCTAGCTGGTTTGGCTTAGTGGGTAGAGCGTTGGCCTGCAGACTGAAGGGTCCCAGGTTCAATTCTGGTCAGGACACATACCTGGGTTATGGGGGACATGCAGGAGGCAGCCAGTCAGTGATTCTCTCTCATTATTGATGTTTCTATCTCTCTCCCTCTCCCTTCCTCTCTGAAATTAATAAAAATGTATCTTTTTAAAAGAAAAAAAAATAAATGCCATTCATTGCTGGTTCAGACTAGATGTCCGCCTAAGACAATGTTGTGTCTGTCGTAAGGGATACAAGGGTCATTTTGAAGGGAAATGGCTTTGTTTTGTTTAGACATTAAAGCCGGATCATGTCTGAGATTGCCCATAATAAAGAGATTGCCCATTCTGGCCGGAACATTACAAATGTCTGCCAACGGAAAACCGAAACCATTCTGAAGTTAAGAAGTTCACTTGTTCTGTTCATACCACAGTAATTAGCATTTTAACTCCCAGACCTCAGTGTTCCTTACTCACTTCTCTCTTCTTTTTTTCCCTTTTTTTTAATCCTCATCCGAGGATATTTTTCCATTGATTTTTAGAGAGAGTCGTGGGAGAGGGAAAGACAGAGAGAAATATTAACGTGAGAGAAACACATCGATTAATTGCCTCTTGCATGAGCCCTGACCAGAGCCCAGGCCAGGGAGGAGCCTGCACCCAAAGTATGTGCCCTTGAACAGAATCGAACCCAAGACCCTTCGGTCCACAGGCTGTCACTTATCCATTGAGCAAAACTGGGTAAGGCTTTTTTTTTAAGTTTTTTAAAAATTTGTTTTTAGAGAGAGTGGTAGGGAGAGGGAGAGAGAAAGAGAAAAACTTTGATGTTAGAGCAAAACATTGATCAGCTGCCTCCTGCATGCCCCTTACCAAGAACTGAGCTTGAAAACCAGGCATGTGCCCTGACCAGGAATTGAACAGGCAACCTTTCAATGCACCAGGCAACGCCCACCCAACTGAGCAACACTGGCCGGGGCGTTGAAACAGCAAAACTTCATAAGAACATTAAAGTAACAAAGCTCTAATGCCAAAACAAGATAAAATACTCTGACATAGGATTTATTTTTTTTAAATGCATTTTTTATTAATTTCAGAGAAGAAGGGAGGGGAGAAGAAATAGAAACATCCTATATAATAAAGATGGAATATGCTAATGACCCTGATACCGTCGCAAAGATGGCGGTACCCACAGCCAATAAGGGGGGAATATGCTAATTGACTTCACGTCCTCAAAGATGGTGGCATCCACAGCCAGAAGATGGCAGCACCCAGTCCCCTCAGCCTGGCCAGGGCGGCAGGCGGGCCCGGCTGCTCCACATGCCTGCCCCTGGGTCCCCCAGTGCCCTCAGTACCCCAATCACCCAGGGCCGGCCCGAGGCGCAGGCATGTCTCAGATGACGGCTGCCCAGCCACTCAGGGCCTCCTGAGGCTCAGGTAACCAGGGCCAGCTGAGGCTTGCGCTGCCAAGAGTGGCAGCAGCAGAGGAGTGATGGGCGTTGCCTTCCCCTGATCTCCAGGTCACCTCCCACCCCTGAGGACTCCCAGGCTGTGAGAGAGGGCAGGCTGGGCTGAGGGACCCCCACCCTTCAGTGCATGAATTTTCATGCACCAGACTTCTAGTCAGTGATAAGAGAGAATCATTGATTGACTGCCTCCTGCACACCCCACACTGGGGATTGAGTCCACAGCCTGCGCATGTGCCCTGACTGGTAATTGAACCATGACCTCCTGGTTCATATGTCGATGCTCAACCACTGAGCCATGGTGACTGAGCTGACATAGGATTTAGAGATTTAAAAACCAATAATCAATTAATATGTGAGTAGAGCAAGAAATTCCAAGAGACAAAGCCCTTCTTTTTTTCTGTTTCCCTCCACAGGAGAGAAATACGAACTTCACGCAGGAACTGAGTCCACGCCCAGCGTCGTGGTTCACGTCTGTGAAAGTGACACTGAAGAGGTAGAGGAAACAAAAAACCCCAAACAGAAAATTACCCAGACCAGGCGCCCCGAGCCTCCGGCCACAGCACTGAGCGAGCCCCCGACCTTCGACTGTGCCCCGTGAGGCCTGACTGTGGCACGAGGCAGCTGCCATCGTGGGTGCTGGTCGTGGAAACGGTGCCCCCTGTTGGGGCACTGCTGCTCGTGGTGTAGGTGAGGTGAGCAGGGCATGAGACGCGGTGTGTTCACCAAGCCTGCGCCGCCGTGGACTTGGCAGTCTAGAGTAGAGGCTGATATTCTGAGAAGCGCTGTAAGCATCTCCTGACCACTTTGAACAGTAGCAACTTAGGAACACGGCCCCTCCAGGAATGTTCCTCTCCCTGATTCTGTGTAGCATGGAGTACCCCAAAACTAAAACTATAGCCAGCGAGTGCAGTCCCATTTTTATGAATTTAAAAGTAGTCTTACAGTTTTAATAATCCAGTGTGGGTATTTTTGTACTGGTATAACAGCTTCTAACTAAACCTCTTGATCAAAGCTTAATTACTGTTCAGCATACCTGAAATTTTTTGCACGTAAAGAAACCCGAAGTATAGAATAATTCGTAGCAAATCACTTTTCTCTAGTACTTTGTTTTCTTTAACTTTGGGGGAGAAATGCCAAGTTCACTTTGACTCTCGGAATCGAATGGCACAAATCCATGTGCCTACTGTTCCCTGACTTGGAAAGCAGACGCCCACACCACTGTCCTCATGTGTGGTCCCTCCCAGAGAAAGAGCTGCTGCTTTGGGTGGGGGTGTCGCCAGGGAGCTTGCCTGGTTATGACTCAGGTGGCTGCTGCAGTCTGCTGCTTGTGACCGTGCTCTAGCCTGTAGCATCCCAAATTGCTCCCAGCCACCTGCTAAGCTTTCCTGCGCTATACATATTTGTGTGTCATTCGTAGACTTTAAGTGAGAAAAGAAAATGGCAAGATCCTGTCTAATAAAATAGTAGTATGCAAATTGACCATTCTTCCATCACACCCACAAGCCATGCCCACCAACCAATCAGGAATGAGTATTCAAATTAACCCAACCAAGATGGCTACAGCCATGGAGCAAACAGGAGGCTTGGGTTTCCCTGGTAATAAAGGAAGCAAGCTTCCTGCACACCCTGGCCAGCCCAGGCCTTCGCTCAAGGCTACAAAGTTTCAATTATAGAACATAAATCCCAACAAAAATGGCTGCAGCCACAGAGCAAGAGGAGGCTTGGGTTTACCCAGCAATGAAGGAAGCCAAGCTTCCTGCACACCCTGGCCAGGCCAGGCCTCCGCTCAAGGCTACAAAGTTTCGATTATAGAACATAAATAAATCCCAGATACCAGGGCCTCCTCTTGGGTCGTTAGGGGGGATAAGAAGGGTGTGGCTGGCCTGCAAACCACCATAGGCCCTTCACCCAGCCCAGCCCACCCCACACCCCAAGGGAACCCCCATCCTGATCCAGGACACCCTTCAGGGCAAACCAACTGGTCCCCACCCGTTCAGCAGGCCTCTATCCTATCTAATAAAAGAGTAATATACAAATTGAGTGTCACTCCAACACACAAGATGGCTGCCCCCCTTATGGACACAAGATGGCCAACAGGGGAGGTCAGTTAGGAGGGATCAGGACAGCAGGGGAGGGCAGTTGTGGACGATCAGGCCAACAGGGGAGGGCAGTTGGGAGGGACCAGGCCTGCAAGGAAGGACAGTTGGGAGCAATCAATCCTGCAGGGTAGGGCAGTAAGGTGACCAGGCCAGCAGAGGAGGGAAGTTGGAAGTGACTGGACCTTCAGGGAAGGGCAGTTGGGAGAGACTCAGGCCTGCAGGGGAGAGCAGTTAGGGAGAACCAGGCCTTCAAAGGGAGGACAGTTAGGGGTGACCAGGCCTGCAGGGGAGGGCAGTTAGGCATCAATCAGGCTGGCAGGGAGTGGTTAGGAGGTGATCAGGCTGGCAGACAGAAGTGGTTAGTTAGGGGCAATCTGGAAGGCAGGCAGGTAAGCAGTTGGGAGCCAGCAGTCCTGAATTGTGAGAGGGATGTCTGGGCTTAAACAGGCAGTTGGACATCCCTCAGGGAAGAGTCCCAGAATGGAGAGGGCGCAGGCTGAGCTGAGGGACAAACACCCCCTGCACGAATTTCATGCACTGGGCCTCTAGTTTTCTAAGTTTTAAAAGTGTCCATTTAAGCATTTTTCATCTTGAAAGAGAAGTCACACTTAATCTTTTCCATGAATTAGGGAAAGATAGGGGAGATCATTTTGTTGGTCAGACTTTTTTTTTTTTTTTTTTGGTGAGATTTCTTACAGTATGCATTATTCCCTAAAATAAAATTGTTTCTCACATTTCAGAGTGAATAGTTGAACCTCTTAAAGTAGAAACAAGAATCTTTTTAATTTGGGGGGGGGCCTGTTCAGACTTTCAAGTCCTTTTTATAGAAAAGTATAACAAAATGCTTTGCTCTGCCGACTCTCTGCTCACACGGCTGTTTCATTTATATGGCAAGTGTCTGGAGGGCCTGGTCCGTATGTGAAGGGGTTGCGCATCTGCGTTTGGACTAGTACAATGTGGCTACCATTATAAAAGAGAGGTAAATGCAGAAATGCAGGCCATGATATCTGTAAATTTTTGGTAACATGATTTTGTGGTTTAGGTGTTCTATGTACACTTTATTTCTGAGGATTTAAACTATATTGCAAAAAAAGTTTTGTATGTTTTCCTTGCCCTGAAATACTCTGAGATGATAAACTCTTCTATTTGTATATATCTACCACTGCTGAGCCTCCATGTAAATTCAGTTCAGATTTGTGATTCCATAAGTAATTTAGTAAATTCAGATCACCGTTTGGCAGTCCATCATTGCAGCATGGATCCTGCAAGCCAAGGAATGTATGCATTTTCAACAGTTGGGGATTTTTAAATTTCCTTTTAGTTATATTTATTCACTGTAATTTTCTAAGTGACCAAAATCCATGTTTTATTATTTTGCTTGGTTCTCATTCTCTATCTTCCAGTTAAGAAAGAGTATTGTCCCCACAGAGTCCCAGGCTTCAGGGCGCCGGTTGGGAGCAGGAGGAGGCCCGGGGGGCTGCTGCCTGCGGGGCGGGGCGTGTCAGAGGCGTCGGGAGCCCCCACAGCCGGGGGAGATCGGCGTCTCCGCGCCCCACGGCTCCTCTCCGCTCCCAGCGTCCCCGCAGCCTGACCCCCCCGGACCCTCCCGCCTGGGGAGCGGCCTCCCCGGCCCCGCTGCCCGAGCCCCGCGCTCAGGATGAAAATTAGAGAAAAAATGAAAGGCATTGGAGGCACGAAACTAGATGACCACTTTCTTGACATGGAAAGGAAAATAAATAACACCAATAAAGCTGTTACAGAAAAAAAAAAAAAAAAAAAAAAAAAGAAAGAGTATTGTGTCCTAACATAGAAAAACTGTTTACACAGTCAAGCAGTGTTGCCCTGGCCAGTGTTGCTCAGTGGTTAGATTATCAGTCTGTGCACCATAGTGTCTAGAGTTTGATTCCCAGTCAAGGGTGCATACCTGTGTTGCAGGTTCAGTCCCCAGCCCAGTCAGGCTTCTCGGTTGCAGGAAGCAACCAATCGATGTTTCTCTCACATCAGTGTTTCTCTCCTCTCTCCCCCTCTCTTCCTTCCAGTCTCTCTAAAAATCAGTGGGAAAAAATATAGAAGCAGTGTTAGCCTGGCTCAGTTGGTTAGAGCATCATCCCAATATGCCAACGTTGTAAGTTCAATCCCTGGTCAGGGCACACACAAGAATTAGCCAGTGAATGCATACATAAGTGGAATAACAAATCGAAAGTCAAGTAGTGCAAATTACCCCAAATTTTTGTTCTCCATTCTTTTTTGTTTTTTTAAGAGAGCATTAAATAAATTGAAGAAAATATTAAACTAAAATTAAATATATATATATATATATATATATATATAATTATTTAATACTAGAAGCCTGTTACAGGAAGATTCCTGCAAAAACAAGGCTTCCTCGGGCCTGTTCCTGCAAGAACAGGGCTTCCTGCTCCAGAGCAAAGCAGAGAAGGGAGCGAAGCCCGCCTTGGCTTTGCTCCTGTCTCCGCTGCCTCACTTTCTTCTCTGCTGCTTTGCTCCCTTCTGCAGCACTCGGCTTCCTTCTATACTGTCTTCAGTCTTGGCTCTGTACCTGCATATGCAAATTAACTATCATCTTTGTTGGGTTAATTTGCATACCCACTCCTGATTGGCTGGTGGGTGTAGCAGGGAGATGGTCAATTTGCATGTTTCTCTTTAATTAGTATAGATTTCTCAATGGGGAAATTAATATTTTCATTCTAATATAGTACTGCCATAAGATGAACTCTAAAAGAAAATCTACTAAATGCTCATTAACTTTTAACATGATGAAATTAACCAAGATCTCCATGGAAAAAAATAGCCAAGGTGTTCTGCTCTCCATTCTTTTGACTATTTTTTATCCAGTTCATGTAACCATTTTGTAAGCAATGAGTCTCTATCTTTTTTTAAAATTCCTTAAATAACTTTATCTACACCTTTTCTAATTTGAAATTGAGTTATTTAGATTTAACTATGATAGTATAGTAGCCATGTTTTCTTAAGTCATAACCTCTTCTTGGGAATCCATCGTTTAGATAACTGTGAGGTTAGAACATGAGGCTTTCGTCAGGAAGAAGCATGCGTGAGGGGTAAGAAGCCTGTAACTGAGGACAGCCAGGAGGGCCTATGGGCCCTTGGCTCTTACGTTCCAGGTCCTCTCAGCATACCCACCTGATGAAATTGGAAATAAGTCTTCTAAAGAGCATACTAGTTGCCCAGCTGGCGTGGCTCAGTGTTTGAGTATCAGCCTATGAACTAGGTCATTGTTGATTACCAGTCAGGCCTGTGCCCAGGTTGTGGGCTCAATCCCCAGTAGGGGGCGTGCAGGAGGCAGCCAGTCAGTGTTTCACTACCATCAATGTTTCTGTCTTCTCTCCCTCTTCCTTCCTCGCTCTCTAAAAAATCAATAAAAACATATTTTTAAAAACATAAACATAAAGTAACATCTCTAATTAAGAAGGAAAATGGAGATCCCCTTGTAGGACTGTTTGAGGATCAAATCAGATGC